GAGCACTGGCAGAATAGATGGCACCTGGCTGACCTGCAACAGAAAGAGAAGATTCCAGCGGTGGTTCGTCCACCCGGGGACACTCCGACGATCAAGTCAGTATATCTCTCAAAGATAATCAATAGTGCTAAATTCACTGTTCAGAATATAAATTACGTACCTTAGACCTATGGGGGTGCCTCTCTTTTATAATTAACTCAATCTTAGTCCTAATAGAAGCCTAGCTTCAATGGACTTTTGCTCAGTGCTTATCCAGGACTCTTTAATAGATAGAGATAAACTCCCTAAGAGTTTTATCTTTATCCAGGCTGAGTCCCCTCATCATTCTAGGACTCTTGTGCCTTATCCAGTTATCTCAGATTCTGATATCTTCGGAGATAACCTCGGCCTTGACAATATAACCTCGGTGTCATGATCTAGACACGTGGTACCTTGGCTGACACGTCGGCGTCACCTTGGCCACGTGTTGGGACTTAGGAATTATATCCCCACAATATGTATAAACCCAGATATGTATAAACTCAAATTATAACTCAAATCAACGTGATTCCAATATGATTCCAATATATTTTGATTCCAACATGATTTCAAACTCAACATGATTCCAATATATTTTGAGGACCAAACTCAAATCAAAGCCAGATTAGACCAACCTTAAAAAAGCACCACCCCAACAAAGACATCAAACCCAGATCATAAAACTAAAATCACACCAAACTCATATTGTAATAAGCTTACAGGAGTGGTCGATGGTCGCAGTGAGCTCTGATTTTGCAACTAAGTTGCTGGAGAGAACAGAGCTACAGGTCGCAGTGATTTTGAACGACGGTCGGAGTAAGCTCTGGTGAAGCCAGAGAGAAATGTAGAGGCAAAAGCTGAGAGAGAAATGGGTAGATAAAGAGTTTAAAATTTGAAATCAAGAAGAAGAAGAGAGAGAAAGAGTAGGTGTGAGGCAGTCGTTTGAGAAACAGAAGAAGATGAATGTTTGATACACTTGGACAGGAATGAGAGGAGTGTTTGAGAGACAGAACCATTAGATGTTGATCAGGAAAGATCTCAGCCATTGATACAAATGTGTCTCTCATATATTTTCACACATTTTCAAAAACCTTGTGCCTTATTATATAGATATATATATATATATATATAATTGTTAGTCTCATTTCCTAACCAAATTATTTTATCTTCCTACCACTCACTGGACATTATGTTGGTTTTAGTGAGGAAGAATGGAAAAAATTGAAGAAATGAGGGTAGTAAAGTCATTTTTTAACGTATTGAAGGGTAAGCAAGTAATTTAATTTATAATGTTGATATTATTTAAATCTAAACTTTAAGAATTTGGTATTTATAATTTCTAAATCAGAAAGGATAATTTATGTTTTAGATAAATCTTAAGATATAACTACAATTTACCTATAAAAAATAATAAATAAAAAAAAAACAAAAACAAAATTCATGGAATTGTCACCGCCAGTGATCAAATCATAATTCTGATGATCAACTAGTTTGAAGCAGTCCATTTGAAGTATACAATAATTAAAGAGAATGCAATTAGTCCCTAGGATTCAGAATTTGAATGGTCCTTGGGATATAAGTTTGAACAAGTCATGATTCTTGTGATTACATATTATTTGAAGCCGACCCTTTGCTGTCCGCTCCTGTGATTTCTTTGTGTAGTGTACTGCAGGAGACTGCAATCTAGTCCTATTCACATATGGGGGTGTCTGTTTGGTTTTTTTTTATTCAATTTATAATTTTTAGTTTTGAAAAAGTTATTTTAAACTGTTTAGTTAAATTTATTTTAAATAACTTTTAATTTTAACAACTTATTTTAATTCAAAAAAACTGATTCGAAGAAGTTGTTCACCCCTTACTTCTGGTTATCAGCTTCTGCTGTGGATATATTAATTTACGGTTATACTCTTAAATTTTTTTATTTTATATTTTTTTCAAAATAGAAAAAGATCCAAATGGACTATATATTATTATTATTTTTTATGAGAAATGTAGACAAATAGTGAATAACAAAAAATAAAAGTTAATTGAAAAAACTACTTTACAGCTTATTTAACAAATACTACTCAATAATTTAAATTTATAATCCAACAATTACACCAAATAGATTTATAACTTCTTATTAAAGTCATAATCTATAATCTATTTTAACAGGTACACCAAACGGATAGACTGATGGTTCTATAATTTGAATTTTGTGTCACTTTTATTCTTAATTTTTTAATTATAATATATTTGATTTTAAATTTTGAAACTGCTCTGAATAAGGATAATAAATTACTATCATTTGTTTTGTGGATGGAGATTGCTCACGTGCAATCTGCTTGAACATTTTCCAAGGACAAAGTCGTGATTTTGCCTTATTTCTTGCGCAAATAGACAATACCCTCTGGGAGCTTCTATTTGCACACACAATATATATTTTTTGCGCATCATTCTCACTATATTTTTTGCACATTCTCTTTATTAAATGTGTGTATAGAGTGTGTTTGGTGTGCGTAAATAAAAGCTCCCATACCCTCTTTACTTCATGCATGCATATATGTGTCAGAAGGAAACGGAAAAAAAGAGAGAAAAAAAATGAGAGGGACATAGAGACTCAAAAAATAATAATAATTTCAAAAATTCAAGCATATATTATTTTTATATAATTGTTTTTGAAGAGTAAAAATATTTTTAGAATCATAAAATATTTTTTTATATTTATTTTCGTCAAATTAATTTTTATTTTTCCAAATGTTTTTCAAATAATGTCATAAATTCAAGTTAAACATTGCTACAACTTTGATATCATTATTAAACTAATTTAATAAAAAAATTAAAAAAATCTAAAAATAATCACAGAAGCCCAAAAAATCTAAAAAAATATTTTAAAAAATTAATAAATACACAAAAATACAAAAAAAAAAATTATACTAAATTTTTGCTTTTGTTTTTTTTTTTTTGTATTTTTTGGTATTTAATGTATTTTTTAAATATTTTTTTATAAATATTATACGTTTTAAGTGTATTTATGTTAGGTGTGTCTAAAAATTAAAAAAAATTCATTCAAAACATTAAAATACGAAAAGTAAAAAAGTAAATTTTCTGAAAACAAGAAACAAACAAGCTGAATATTAGTTGTAACTAGTGTACCATGGACAATACAAAAAAAAATATGGATATAAGCCTTAAAATAAATTATATAATGATAAATTATTTTTTGATACAAAATTTGATTAAAAATTTAATATAATGGTAATATCACGGCATCATTAGTATGTGATATCACCAATTAATGGTAAATAAACGTATAAAGAGTGAACCTCACATGTCAAATGTAACTAACAATCTAATAAATTTTATATCTTTATAGTGAGATTACTTATACTTGCATATCACTAATAATGACATCCCTGTCACATTCAAAAAATTTCATAGCTAATATGATTTATTTATAATAGTCTCTTCATTTTAAATCAAAACAACCATTATTGTTTTCATAATTTTTAAAATGTTATTAGCATTTCACTCTAATAATATTTTTATAATTTTTTACTTAAAATATTTTTTTTTATATTTACAAAAAAAAAAATTCCAAAATCCAGCCAAGAAACGTGACCCCCTTAGTCACATGCTCCCTTCACCACTACAATTGAATATGGCGAGGCTAGTACCATTTACACAGTTGTTGATGTTGGTAACAAACATGCACGGAAAGTGAAGATGGAGAGGGATGGGTCATTGGGTTGTAATTGTACAAAGTTTGAAAGGGAAGGAATCTTGTGCTGTCACTTATTGAAGGTTATTAGAGACATATTGAAGATAAAAGAGGTTCCTCCACAATACATTCTAAAGAGGTGGACGAAACAAACAAGAGCCGAAACTGTGAAGGACATTAAGGGGAATGACATTCAAGTAGATGTAAAATTCCAACAAGCCTCGCGGTATAAGACATTGATGACCGCATTTAGAGCACTAGCAAGTAGAGCTGCTGAAACTGAAGAAACTTATGATTTTTGTGTTGCACACCTTGCTACATTAGGTGCAAATATTGAAGGCAAGTTAGGTGCTCTTTTTGGTGCTGGAAATGAAGTAAGTAATGATCATGACACCCAAAGCTTTGAAGTGGATTGCGAAGATGTGAATCATGTTGTGCAACCAAAAGGATTTAAGAAAAAACTGGCAACTAGTAAGGGCAAAAGGAGGGTAAAAGGTGGATTCGAAGTGGCGTTGATAACGAACTCCAAAACAAAAATCCCATGCTAACAGCTTCGCTTCGTCACAATCTATTGCAAGTCCAACAGTTGCACCTTCTCCATTATCTGTTGGAGGAGAGATCTATGTTCGTCAAGATGTTCCTCCTCTTCAACCTCTTCCTCCCCGTCGTCATTTTCCTCCATCTTTGCCCATGGGTAGTAATTCTATTCCTCCGTCATTGATGAATCCCACATATCATGTAAGTGTTAGTACAATATATGTATTTATATTATGGATATAATATGTGACTCAACCCATAATTGCGAAGCGTAATATATGACATTGTTCTTTGCCAATTTGCAGGACATGTATGTAGTGCATAATTCAGTGCCAAATTTAATGCCTCAACGGTATCTTGCTGAACCAACATTCCAGTCACTACTTCAAGGTTCATATGGATATGACATTGGGTTTCGATATTCTCAAGAATCAAACAGTCCAATGTGGAGTCAGGTTTGTCGTTGATGTCTTTTGAATTTGTAGTTGCCTAAAAATCTGGATTTTGTGTTGCTGAAATTTGTACTTTAAGTAGCTTTTTTTTGAATTTTTTTTTTCAATTAAATTCTGTGTTTCTCTATTTCAGGCCATGGACAAGCACAAAGACAAGCAAACTGAAGATGAAAATGGCATGTAAAGTGAAGTGATACCATCTCAAATTGTGAAGCAAACTCATGCTGAATTGCTGCACAAATTTTGATGTTACTGAGAAGTGATGTTGAAATTGCTGTTCAAACTCCACTCTAATGTCTGTTGAAATTGTGTTAAACATGTGTGTTCAAACTACTGTTGTATGTGTGTTGAAATTCTGATTTAGTTTAATGAGAATGCTTGTGTTAAAATTCTGATGGTATGTTCATGGCTTGTTGACTGCTGGGAATGGTATGCTAATGATAGAACCAAAATGTGCCATAACATGTGTTGCATCTGCTGGTATGGTCTGGTTTGGTCCGCTGGGAATGGACAACAATACTGTATTGGTTTGTGATTGTGTTTTCAAATAGTAACAGATAGGTTCATTGTTAACATTAATTGATAACAGATAATAACAAATAAGAGAGGTTCTGGTATGTTCTAGTCTGGTCTGGTCTGGTTTGGTCTGGTCTGGTCTGGTTCTGTTCTGAATCTGCACTCAACAATGCTGTATTGGTTTGTGATTGTGTTTTCAAATAGTAACAGATAGGTTCATTGATAACCTTAATTGATAACAGATAATAACAGATAAGAGAGGTTCTGGTATGTTCTAGTCTGGTCTGGTCTGGTCTGGTCTGGTTCTGTTCTGAATCTGCACTCAACAATGCTGTATTGGTTTGTGATTGTGTTTTCAAATAGTAATAGATAGGTTCATTGATAACCTTAATTGATAACAGATAATAACAGATAAGAGAGGTTCTGGTATGTTCTAGTCTGGTCTGGTCTGGTTTGGTCTGGTTCTGGTCTGGTTCTGGTCTGGTCTAGTTCTGGTCTGGTCTGGTCTGCATCTGCTAGGCTGCTCTGCTTCTGGTCTGCATGTGCTAGTCTGGATTGGTCTGGTCTGTTCTGGTCTGCATCTGCTGGTCTAGTCTGCATCTTCTACTCTGGTCTGGTTCTGGTCTGCTCTGGTCTGCATGTGCTAGTCTGGTCTGGTCTGGTCTGCATTTGCTAGTCTAGACTGGTCTGGTCTGAATCTACTATAGTTCAACACAACCCTTGATAGAATTCAAAATAGTATTACATAGCATAAATAATGGTTTTGGTACACAACAAAATAGTATCAGATAGCAACAATACTGTTTTGGCACTAAATAATATCAGATAGCATAAATAATGGTCTGCTTTGGTCTGCTGGGAATGGACTGCTCTGGTCTGAATCTGCACTCAACAATGCTGTATTGGTTTGTGATTGTGGTCTGTTCTGGTCTGCATTTGCTACTCTGCATCTGTTCTGGTCTGCATCTGTTCTGGTCTGCATTTGCTACTCTGCATCTGTTCTGGTTTGCATCTGCTGGTCTGGTCTGCATCACTGTTCTGGTTCTGGTCTGCTTCTGGTCTGATCTGGTCTGCATCATCTATAGATAATAACAGATAAGAGAGGTTCATGGTTTTGGTACAGGTTCATTGATAACATTCATTGATAACAGATAACAGTAATGGTTCAAATGCCATACATGGTTGGTAACAGAGCTGTCTTGGTTCCATCATTCATTGATAACAGATAACATTCCATCATTCATAACAGATAATACGGTACATTCATTGATAACAGATAACATTCCATCATTGGTTCTATCATTCATTCATAACAGATAACATTCCATCATTCATTCATTCATTCATTCCAAAATATGCCATACTTCATTCACCAGTTAATAGATAATTCATTCATTCATTCAAACATGTACCATACTTCATTCCAAAATTCATTTCATTCATTCATTCGAAAGTTGAGGCCACAAGTTGAGGAAAATAGATAATAGATAACAAGTTAACAAGTTCATGTACATACAAGCCAAAATGTTACAAACTTCCAAGTTACATCATAAAGTAGAAAATGGTAGCAAATACAATGAAGTACACCATCGCTTTGATATTCCTTTCCATCCTTTGAAGCCTTCGACCATAGTTCGTTTCCATGTAATGAAGCCTCGTCCTTACATCGTTAAAGTCTTGTACTGTTATACCATCACAAGCTGTATAGTTCGTATGGATTCTGGACGTAACGTCTTCATCATCTTCATCAACGAACTTGAAGTAATTGCAATGGGGAGTGGGAGTCTTACTTTGCAATGCATGAGAATAAGTTAGTCGAAGAAGACAAATATTAATTTGACTACTAAACGAAGAAAACAGCTAGAATTACAAACTTACATATCTTGATGGGCAAACAAAGAACAAACGTCCTTCATTTCCATTCTCATTGGTTTTTACAATATGTATGGCAGCGGTTCTTCCACAATTGCACACCCTCGGTTGTAATCTTATGTTGCTAATGTTAGAGGAAGATGCCATTTTTCAAAATCTGCATACATGACAAATATTTGAACCATGGTAGTTCCATAGAGGAAAAGAGACATTTCAGCTTTGAAATGGTAGTTCAAAAAAAGCCATACTCCGACTTTTAAAATGGTAGTTCAAAAAAAACCATAGTTTAGGTAACCCTTTTAAAATTTGGCAATCTATATAAGACTAATCCAAAATATCTATATTTGTGATTCATTTTCAATTACTCTCTGAACACTTCCTAATTTATGCTCCTATCTTTGTGATTCACTATTTGCAAAATATCTATATTTCTATGAATAAATGAGTATTTACTTGTGATTAGTTGAACACGAGAGTCTAGTGGTGGGATGCAACAAGTTGAACTTCCTATCTACTTGCATAGCACTTCAAACCAAGAGGAATTCTTTATCTTTCTTTCTTTTTATTTTATTTTATTTTTAATGTTTTTTGGGTATGCTGGTGAAGCTCCTTATCCTCTTCAATGTTGAAAAATTACATATAATTCTTTTATTTTCTTAATGTACTCTAGTTCTGTTCTCATTCTTCCTCTAAACCTATGTGTTTAGCTTTCACACAACTTTTTCTTCAAATGCATAAAAACATTAGTAATACCCATCCATCTAATGCAAAAACAGCCATAAAGCCATTATATAACTGTCCCTCTCAAACTAACCCAAGTTTGGTTGAGCATACAAAGGAGATGACATAAAAAAGCAAAAAAATTCATAAAGACTTGCTTAATATATTCCTTCACCCACTTGATAGGTAACTGAATATTACTTTCCTCCTATCTAACTGAATATTGCTACAATGTATGATTTTAAGTAATGGTTCAGCTAAACCAAAATGTGCCATACTTAGATAATTACTTCAACTATCATATTGCCATAATCAGATAATTAGTTCAACTATCATTTCATACACAGAACAAACTAATTAACACTGAAAGCAAATACTCAGATAATTAGTTCAACTATCATTTCATACACAGAACAAACTAATTAACACTGAAAGCAAATACTCAGATAATTAGTTCAACTATCATTTCATACACAGAACAAACTAATTAACACTGAAAGCAAATACTCAGATAATTAGTTCAACTATCATTTCATACACAGAACAAACTAATTAACACTGAAAGCAAATACTCAGATAATTAGTTCAACTATCATTTCATACACAGAACAAACTAATTAACACTGAAAGCAAATACTCAGATAATTAGTTCAACTATCATTTCATACACAGAACAAACTAATTAACACTGAAAGCAAATACTCAGATAATTAGTTCAACTATCATTTCATACACAGAACAAACTCATTAACACTGAAAGCAAAATCAAAGCCCAATTAAAACTCTGATTTTTATTATTCATGTCAATGTTTCAGAGATTTGAAATCAAAGCCCTAATTTCTCAATCCCAAATCAAAGCCCTATTCAGAGATTTGAAATCAAAGCCCTAATTTCTCAATCCCAAATCAAAGCCAAATCAAAGCCCTATTTTCTGTTCGAATCCTTATTCGAATCAAAGCCAAATCAAAGCCCAAATCAAAGCCCTATTTTCTGTTCGAATCCCTATTCGAATCAAAGCCAAATCAAATCAGTTTTTTCTGTTCGAATCTGACATCGAAGCCCTTAATTTTCAAATTTAAAATATATTTTCTCAATCTCAATCACACAATCCTAACATCTTCAGTTCAGAGTTTCGAATACTAACCTGGTTCCTCTATGGTCTCAGAACCCACGTTCAGAACCCACGTTCCTGGAAGTGGGTCGCCGGTGCCGTCGTCTGGGGGATTGGTCGCCGGTGAGAGTAGTCAGTGGAGGGGGACGAGTGAGTGGGAGGAGTGCAAGGCTGAGTGAAACTGAGGAGTGAGAGTGATTCTCATATGAATGTATAATACTAACTATAGCGACGGGCGGGAACGAATAGAAATTTTTTTTTTTTTTAATCTCAGCCGTTGGATGCTCGTAAGTCTTGCGAGGAGAGGATCTGAACTCATACAGAGAAACCCAGACTCCATTGCTGAGTTGATCAGATTTCACATCTAAACCCTACTCTGTTTTCACATTCTTCCCCATTTTCTTGAGAGAGAAAGAATGGGACTCTTCACCTACACCTTAGCCGGTGGCGGCTTCATCCTCATCGGCGCTTGGGAATCTCTCATCTCATCATCTATCGAAACCCAGGAGAAGAAAACGACGAAGACGAACTCTTCTTCTTTTTCATCATCCATAACCCTATTCGCAGTCTCTCTCCTATCTTTGTTCTTCATCTTAAACTCAATCGTCTCCTTAATCGACGCTTTCAATTCCCAAGATCAAACCGGTTTGGTCCTCCAGCTAGAGGTAATAGCAATCGCTTCCCTTTTCTTTCTCTACTCTGTTCTCGGTCTCATGACCCATTTCACAAATTCGATCCTTTTACCCTCTTCAATCCTCAATTTACTCTGTCTATTCGCTTTCGTTGAAGAATTTCTCTTGTTTTACCTCCAAAGAAAAGACCCAAGTGGAATCGAGAACCGTTACTTCGATCTCGCGCTTGTTCCGATCGGGGTTTGTGTTTTTTCAACAATTCTCGAATTGAAAACCCCAAAATCGAGATTTTTAAGGTTGGGTCGTGGAATTGGGTTGATTTCGCAAGGGACTTGGCTTGTTCAAATGGGTTTTTCGTTTTATTCTAATGCCATGGCTAATGGGTGTTCTTTACATGAGAAAAGCAGAGGAAATTATACGATTAAGTGTAAGGGACACCCCGATTATCACCGGGGTAGAGCGATCGCCACGCTTCAATTTAATTGTCATCTTGCTTTCCTTGTGGCGTTGATTGTTGGGGTGTACTCAATTGTTTGTAAAAAGACTGGCATTGGTGGTGATTTCACACAGTATAGGCCGATTGGAGCGGAAATGCAACAATTGGATAGCCAAGCTCAATTTACTTTGGATTCTGATGATGACAATGAGGATGGGATTAAAGAAGAGAGGAATGTGGCAGCAGACCAGAGGGCTATTGTAGTGGTTACTGAGCCAGGGATTAATGGTTATGGTTCTCATTAATGAGGTAATTCCAATTTCCAGGTGATTTTTGTTCCATTAATGAAGCACTTCAATATACTTTGATTAGTATTTAGTCCACGGTTAGTGCAGAAGAACTTGGTTTGCTTTGTATAAATCAATTTCTATAACCCTTTTCCTGGTTTTTGGTTTATATAGTCATTGACTACATAGTTTCATTGTGTTGTGGATTGTCCTTAAAAGGTTTTTGGCTGTGTTGCATTTTGTTGCTTCTTGTGCTTTTACTGTTATTATTGAGAATCAAGTATTTTCATTCCTGAACATTCCGACCATCTAGACATCTTAATTTTAAGAAACATACAAGCTTGCCATTTAAATTATTTGAACTTTGGTTGCATGAGAGGTGGATGAGCTGTGAGAATATATTGTATATATATGGCATTGTGTCTATTAGGAATTAAGCATGTATTAGGCAAGATTGTTGTATTTTTCTTTTTCAGTCATAAATTTAAAGCTATATAAACTGATGAACTCTTTGTAAACAAGCAAGTTCAATATACAAAAACATTCAGAAACTTACATGGTATCAGAGCTAGGGTTTCATTCGAACTCGTTGGTCAAAGCCCTTCCTGTGTCGCGAAGGTCTTCTCTGTGGTCTGAAGTCGCAACATCTCTGGTCAGGTCGCGCAAGCCTGTTCTCTCTCTGGTTCGCACATGGTTCGTGATCTCCTTCTCTCGTCTTGAACTCGCGATCTCTCTGTCTCCTCTCTGAATCAAAGAAAGTCTTCAAAACCCTAATAATCACAGAGGATTCAGAATCAGAAGCCTCTCTTCCTCTCGTCTCAACTTCGTTTGGTCTCTCGGCTTCATCTGGTCATCTGACCCTGGTTGTTTCTCTCTCTGTCTCTGTGTTTGTCACTTTGACTATCTGCACTGTTATTTGATTATAAACCCTTATTTCCTGTTTCCCATTTGTTAGTTATAATATACTTCGACCCATTTATCTTTGGTTTATTATAATGACGAATACTTAAATTCAAGCCATCAGATGTAAACTCACTAATGCCAATTATGCTTATTGAACTAGTGTTATGAAGAATTTCCTTCTTGGTTAGAAAAAAATAAGGCTATGTTTTTGGTTCTGTTTCTCATCCATTAGACCCTAAACAAGAAAGATATTTGCCTTCTTGTGACACTTGGGATTGTGATAATGCCCAAGTTTTGACCTGATTTCATAATTCTGTGGATGACCGTATTAGAATGATGTTTTCCAAATACAGTACTGTTAAGGAGGTGTGGGACTATTTATTGGGTGTGTATCAGTAGTCCAACTTTGCCTAACGATATGAGTTGGAAACAACTATTCAAAGTGCTCGTCAGCGGGATTAATTTATTCAGGACTTCTTCATTGAGATGACAGGTCTCTGGGATTAGTTGGCTCTCATGGAACCATCTAGCCTCAAGGCACTAGACGCTTATGTTGAGTTTCGGGAGCAAGGTCGTTTAGTGCAGTTCTTAATGGCTCTCTCCCCTCAGTATGAGGCTATCCGTGGTGGCATCCTTCATCGGTCTCCTCTCCTCTCTATGGATGCTATTGTTTGCACCTCTTCGAGGAAACCCTTCTTAAGAAGACCAGTCAAACTATGTCTTCATCTGTCTTCTTGGCTCCTACTCAACCTCCTCTGCTGTTGAACCCTCCACCTCATCAGCTTCAGGCCACTGCAAAGCCCAAGAAGGGGCCACTAGCCTCTGATGAGTGTGCTTTTTGCCATCAGAAGGGCCATTGGCCCTATTTGGTAGAGCTGTGGGAAAGTGCTTATAGCTTATACCTAAACAGCTTATAGCTTATAACTATGAACATAAGCTGATTTCTGACTTATAAATTAAGCATCTCCAGTCCCACTCAAAGAATAAGCTGATTTCTGACTTCCAAAAAGTTATAAGCTAAACCAAATACATCAAAATAGCTAAAATTAAGCTGAAAGCTGAAATAAGCTGCTTTTAAGTTCTGCCAAACACCATAATTGGAAGTACAGCTGTCCCAAGAAGGGCCATTAGTCTACTCAGTCTTCTCAGTCGTCTTAGCCACAGTTTCGAGGTCCTGCTCTGAGTACTTTTCGCCCTCCTGTTGCTTATACTACATCTACTCCAGTTTCTGATCCTGACGTGGCTTCCTTGAGTGCCCAGATTGCTCAGCTTCAGCATCTTTGGTCTACCTCTCAGTCATCTTCATTTGTCTCTGCTCTCACCTCTCTTCATTCAGGTTTTCTTTGGTCTTCTTCAGGTATTCCTTCTTCTGTCTGGCTTTTTGATTCCGGTGCCTCTCATTATATAACTCATCATCTTTCCTTACTCCAAAACTGTATCCCCCCTCCCGTTCTTATTACTATTAATAATCCAAATGGGTCTGGTATGTCTATCCTATCTATTGGGTCTATTTTACTCTTTGCCATGTCTGCTGCTGCTGTTACTATTCTCTCTGTCCTTTATGTTCCTCGACTGTCTGTTAGCTTGCTTTCTATCAGTCAGCTTGATGCTTCTGGTTTTGATGTTATCTTTTCTTCTTCTGTCTGTTGTGTGTAGGATCGGATGCCCAAGAAGCAGATTGGGACCTGCCGTTGAGTTGGAGATCTCTATGTGGTGGAAAGCCTGCATCTTCCTCTGTCTATCTGCCCCGTTGTACTTTCATCTTTTCAGTTAGATTCTCAGTCAAGTCAGTTTTATTTATGGCATTCTCGATTAGGTCATTTGTCTGTTGACCGCTTGCGGTCTTTAGCTTAGTCAGGATTGTTAGGTAAAGTTTCTCCTAGTTAAATTAATGAGTATCGAGGATGTAAACTTACTAAGGCCAAGTTTGGAAAGACTAAATAAGTGTACTTTTTGACTTTTTTTTGTATTATGTGTAGAAAAAATAGAGAGGAGATGTTGATTGATGTGACCCAAAAAAGATAAAAAGATGAAATAAGTGCACTTTTTTAGTTTAGCCAAACTTGGCCTAAAATGATAGCTTTACCTTTTAATAACAGTACTTATATTTCTGCTTCCCCTTTTTCTCTAGTTCATACTGATGTCTGGGGACCTTCTCTTGTTCTCACTAAAGGGGGTTTTGTGTACTATGTATCCTTTGTTGATGATTGTACTCGCTATACCTGGGTCTATCTTATGACTCATAAATTTGACTTCTACTAGATATATCGTACTTTTCAGTCAAGTCAGTTTTATTTATGACATTCTCGATTAGGTCATTTTTCTGTTAGCTTAGGCAGGATTGTTAGGTAAAGTTTCTCCTAGTTAAATTAATGAGTGTCGAAGATGTAAACTTACTAAAATGATAGCTTTACCTTTTAATAACAGTACTTCTATTTCTGCTTCCCCTTTTTCTCTTGTCCATACTGAGGCCTGGAGACCTTCTCTTGTTCTCACTAAAGGGGGTTCTGTGTACTATGTATCCTTTGTTAATGATTGTACTTGCTATACCTGGGTTTATCTTATGGCTCATAAATTTGACTTCTATTAGATATATCGTATTTTTCAGTCTATGATCACTACACAGTTTGGGGCCACAATTAAAATACTCCGGTCTGACTTGGGTGGGGAATACTTTAAAATTGAATTTTGTGAGTATTTGGGCATCATTCACCAAACCTCTTGTACTGATACCCTTGCCCAAAATGGTCGTGCTGAGCGTAAACACCGTCATCTCCTTGAGACAACTCGATCTTTCCTTCTCTCTACCACTGTTCCGGCACCATTCTGGGGTGAGGCAGTTCTCACCGCTGGTTTCCTCTTTAATCGCATTCTGACTCCCTTACTCTCCGGTCAATCTCCTTATAAGGCTCTGTATTCCCAACCTCCCAATTATTCTCTCATGCGTGTCTTTGGGTCTGCTTGTTTTATCGTCCTTCCTCGTAAAAATCAGACCAAAGTCAATGCCCGGTCTGTCTTGTGTGTCTTTTTGGGCTACAGTCTTACTTAGAAAGGCTACCGCTATTATGACTCTGTCTCTCGTCGCCTCTATGTCTCCCATTATGTTGCCTTTCTCGAATGTCTGTCTTATTTTCAGCTTTCCCCTCTCACTGCTCCCGTTTTCAAAGAGGATTTAGTTCACATTGACCCATTTTCTTCTGAGGTCCCATCAGATAAGTATATCGCCACTGTTCCTCCTGAGGCCATTCCTACTTCTCCGTCTACGTCACCTATGGCTCATTCTTCTCCTTCGGCTGCTTCTTCCCTTCCGTTGTCGGTCTATTCTCGTCGCAAGGCTCCCCCACCACCAGTTGTCTCTACTCCTGTTGCTGCTCCTACTGCTTCTGACGACTCTGATCCTGCTGCACACCGCTATCCTCCTCGTGAGCGTCGTCCTCCATACAGATTGGGTTGGTCTCATACATGTTTTTTTGTTTCCTATTGTACTTTTTTGTCTGCTATTCGCTCTTTTTTAGAACCTTAGTCTTACAAGGAGGCCTGTCAAGATCCTCACTAGGTTCATGCTATGGAGGATGAGTTGTCTGCTTTATAGAAAACTAGTACTTTGGAGTTAGTTCATTTGCCTGCTAGTAAGAATCTAGTTGGTTGCAAATGGGTTTACAAAGTTAAGATTCATTCTGATAGTTCTCTTGAGTGCTACAAAGCTCGCCTGGTTGCCAAAGGTTTCTCACAGGAGTATGGCATTGATTATAAGGAGACCTTTGCTCCTATTGCCAAGATGACTACTGTTCGTACTTTGATCTCTGTCGCTGTTGTTCGTTCTTGGCCTCTTTATCAGATGAATGTTAAGAATGCTTTTCTTAATGGCCATCTCACTGAGGAGGTTTACATGCGTTCTCCCGCTGGCCTTCACCATTCCTCTAGACAAGTTTGTCGCCTTCGGCGTGCTCTGTATGGTCTAAAGCAGTCTCTTTATGCTTGGTATGATCCATTTCAAACTACTGTTACTGAGCTTGGGTTTCATCCTTGTAACCAAGACTTTGCTTTATTTTTTCTACGCACCTCTGCTGGATTTGTTGCGTTATTACTGTATGTGGATGATATGATCATCACTGGTTC